CGCGTTCCTGCAGCCGGGCTGGGGGTGCGGCGGGGGCCGGGGTCTGCGCGGGGAGCGGGGAGCGGGGCCGGGAGGGCGCAGGAGCCGGGCGGGAGCGGGACCGGGCGGCAGCCGCGGGGGCGAGCGGGGAACCGGCGATCGCCGAGGGCGCGGGTGGATCGGCCGCTCCCTGCCCCCGTTCGGTCCGGTCCGGTCCCGCCGCCCCCGTTCGGCCTCGCCGCCGCCCTGTCCCTGTGCCTGTTCCTGTCCCTGTGCCTGTCCCTGTCCTGTCCCTGTCCTGTTCCTGTCCCTGTCCCTGTGCCTGTCCCTGTCCCTGTCCTGTCCCTGTCCTGTCCCTGTCCCTGCCCTCGCTCCGGCCGGGCCAGCCCCCGGTGCCGGCGGTGTGCACGGCTCCCTGGCAGCGGGGCGGAGAGCGGAGCGGGGCCCGGCACCGCCGCTTGGAAACCTCCGAGGAAAAGCAGGGCAGGGCTCACCTTTCAGCTAGGTTTCCTTCGCTTTCTTATTTTTTCAGATGCGTTACTGTGCCTGTAGAGATTTCGTTGCTTCGCCTCAGACGTTTGTGACTCTGGGGGAAGGATCATGACCGAAGTCCTTCTCTCTGCTGCTCTGAACGGAACTGAACCCAACCTGTTATCCAGCAGCGGCTGGTCTGCGGGAAACGTCACCACCAAGTGCTCCCTGACCAAAACCGGCTTCCAGTTCTATTACCTGCCCACCGTCTATATTCTGGTCTTCATCACTGGGTTTTTGGGYAACAGTGTGGCTATATGGATGTTTGTCTTCCACATGAAGCCTTGGAGTGGCATCTCAGTTTACATGTTCAACTTGGCACTAGCCGATTTCTTGTACGTCTTGACTCTGCCCGCCCTCATCTTCTACTACTTCAACAAAACAGACTGGATCTTCGGCGACATCATGTGCAAGCTGCAGAGGTTCATCTTCCACGTGAACCTGTACGGCAGTATCCTGTTCCTCATGTGCATAAGCGTGCACAGGTACACGGGAGTGGTGCACCCCTTGAAGTCGCTGGGSAGGCTGAAGAAGAAGAACGCGATGTACATCAGCAGCCTGGTCTGGGTCCTTGTGGTGGCCGTGATTTCTCCAATTCTCTTCTACTCGGGAACGGGGATAAGGAAAAACAAAACCATAACGTGCTACGATACGACGGCTGAYGATTACCTGAGAAGTTACTTCATTTACAGCATGTGCACCACAGTGCTGATGTTCTGCATCCCCTTCATAGTGATTCTCGGTTGCTATGGGCTCATCGTSAAAGCTTTGATTTACAAAGATTTGGACAATTCTCCTCTCAGGAGAAAATCGATTTACCTGGTCATTATTGTGTTGACGGTCTTTGCGGTGTCTTACCTTCCCTTCCATGTGATGAAGACCTTAAATCTAAGGGCCAGGGTGGATTTTCAAACCCCAGATATGTGTGCCTTCAACGATAAGGTTTATGCCACTTACCAAGTGACCAGAGGCCTGGCCAGYCTCAACAGCTGCGTCGACCCCATCCTTTATTTCCTGGCGGGKGACACCTTCCGACGGCGGCTTTCCAGGGCCACCAGGAAATCATCCAAAAAGAGYGAGCACAACGTGCAGTCCAAGAGCGAGGAAATGACTCTCAATATTTTAACAGAGTATAAACAGAACGGAGATACCAGTTTGTGAACAAATGCAGAAGATTTAGGAAYGGTTCGAAAAAATCCTCCGCTTCGAGGCAGTAGGAGACTGTAGGGCTTACAAGTATAAGGGCTTACAAGTGTGAGGAAGATCTATCAGTCTCAGACATTTTTTTAGGTAAAGCCTCATTTTCTGGTCTTAGAAAAAGCTTACGAAAGTCAGTGGAAGAATTTTAATGGCAAATAATGTGTCAAAATTCAGCTTTCCTTCAAAAGTTTCATTTATTTCTGACTTGTGTCAGATAAAGTAAAATTAAGTCAATCCCCTGTTGGAGGAGAGCAATCCAAGTACATCTGGTTTAATGACTTAGTGTCCCATGTTTGAGAATGTTCTCAGTCAGCCTGTYTTTAAAAATAGAAAATAACAGTAAGAGCAGTATCTTGTCTTCTGAGGCTCAACCGTAGACCAAGCCTTCTGCTCACTCGCTGTCGTGCACAAGGATTTAAATCGAAGTCATGACGCAGTTATCATTTACAGTTTTAGTATCTYTTCATCTACTTCTAGTGCTGATAATTACTTGATAGTTTGGTGGCATTTATGGTTCAGTGCTCTTTCAGTGCCGGTGTTTTACTCAAGGTAGGCTTTACTGGTGTGTGCATGGTTGTGCTTTCGGATCGCGATGGTTGTTCATGACAAACCTGGCCCCGCTCAGCGGCCGAGGGCTCCCCAGTGCCCGTGCCATGGGTAGTGGCTGTGTCCCAGTCCTGGTGGGCAGTGGGCAGTGCCCGCGTCCTGGCGGGCAGTGGCTGTGTCCATGTCCTGGTGGGCAGTGCCCAGGTCCTGGTGGGCAGTGGCCATGTCCTGGTGGGCAGTGGCCGTGTCCCCGTCCTGGTGGGCAGTGCCCGTGCCCCGGGTCCTGGTGGGCAGTGGCCGTGTCCCCGTCCTGGTGGGCAGTGGCCATGTCCTGGTGGGCAGTGGCCGTGTCCCCGTCCTGGTGGGCAGTGGCCATGTCCTGGTGGGCAGTGCCCCGGGTCCTGGTGGGCAGTAGCCATGCCCCGGGCATGCAGGCGCTGCTGGGCACAGGGATGAGGCCGTGCAGGGTCATGGCTCAGGCTGGCCAAGGGCTCCCTGGTGCCCGTTCCCCGGGTCCTGGTGGGCAGTGGCTGTGTCCCAGTCCTGGTGGGCAGTGCCCGTGCCCTGTGTCCTGGTGGGCAGTCGCCATGTCCTGGGTCCTGGTGGGCAGTGCCCGTGTCTCGGGTCCTGGCAGGCAGAGGCTGTGTCCCGTCCCCATGCCCGGGGCAGTGGCTGTGTCCCGGCACACAGGCGCTGCTGGGCACAGGGATGAGGCCGTGCAGGGTCATGGCTCAGGCCGGCCAAGGGCTCCCTGGTGCCCATTTCCTGGGTCCTGGTGGGCAGTGGCCATGCCCCGGGTCCTGGTGGGCAGTGCCCCTGCCCCGGGCACGCTGCTGGGCACAGGGACGGGGCTGTGCAGGGTCATGGCTCAGGCCAGCCGAGGGTCCGGTGCTGTCCCCGTGCCCAGTGTCCCACTGTCACCGGCAGTGGCCGTACCGGCATGGGCTGGGCTGACCGGGCAGTGCCAGCCGAGCTGCCAGCCTGGAGGATGCTGACACCCTGCTGCCACCCCCTGACACCCTGCTGCCACCCTGCTGGCACCCCCTGCCACCCCGCTGGCACCCCGCTGACACCCGGAGCCCCGTGCAGAACGGGACAGATGGGATGTGCTGGGAATGCCGCAGCTCCGGCCAGCGGGGAACAGCTCCGGGTACCTGCCCTTGGACCCCAATGGATCTATTCCTGTCCTGTTGTTCTGTTCCAGACAACACAAGAGCCGTGTCCCGAGAAAAAGAATGATTAAAATGGGGAATATAATGGATTATATATATATATATAACAGTAATTGGGGGAAATTAATCTTTTTGCACTTTGACAAATCAATTAGTGTATTAACGAGATGTTGCGACATACTATGGACTAAATTCGGCCCTTTACTATAGAACTTCTCCAAATGTGGAATAGTTATCCAAAATTAGCCAAACTGCAACATTGTGTAACACAAGAGCTAGTGATCAGGCGCAGATGAAATTCCACATGGGCAGTCTCACTCGTTTCTCATATTTTTAATAAATGTATTTGAAAATATTTTGTGCTAAAAGCGGTATAAAAGCATGCTCTGAATTATGAAGTTAGTGTACAAAATTAAGTTCGATGTAATCCTAAGGGTGATTTTAACAGATCTTTGTTCCTCCGGTCTGCATCGTAAAATATTTATATTTTACTTACCAATTTCCAGTGATTGGTAACAAAGGAGAGTAGCTCTAGTTATTTTTTGACAACATTGTTAAGCAGCTTCTGTTTACATGTATGGCTTCCTCTGCAGAAACCCTATTTATTGAACTTATTTATTAGAATGCTAAATGTAAAGTTTGTAAAGTGTGGTTCTCAGTGGTCATATTCAGGATTGGGCATTAATGGAAAATTGAAGAGCATGTTTCAATCACTGTAATACTGTGTCTTCTAACAGAACATCTTTATAATAAACTCAATTCCACTCTGACTATTCACTGCTGATATGTAACGTAGTGATAAATTAAACTACTGATTTATAGCCTTGAGGTAAATGAAACTCCTGCTTAGGAAACCTCTTAAAACGATGTGGAGAGCTCATTTAGCCCTATGAAAAATGTAGAGGTAGTGAAGAAATCTCAACCAAGGGTCAATTGCTAATTAATCCTGACTGACAAAGCCCGTGGAACAGCACAGACTATTTATACACCGCAGAAAGAGCCTGATTCACAATAAATGACTTCTCCTATTATGTGATTATTTGAGACTTCATTCAGCTGAGGCACGTCTTGTTTGGAATGGCAGATGAATTACACAGAGARAGAGCATAAAAATAGGATAATCTGCTTCTCTGCGTTGAAAATCCTGTTCATTTTGAAACATTTCGTGGTGAATTTCTTGCTTTCAGTTAGGAAATAAAATGTTCCACTAATTCATGTTTGACAAAAGGTCACACTTCCCACCGGAGCTTGCTCCCATCGGCCAAAGGGACGGTGCAGGGGTGGACGGTTCTCCAGGGCATCCCMGAGCTCTGTTTGGACCCTTTATTGTGTGAAGGTTCTGTCAGCAGCCGGGGCAGCAGAGGCACTGCAGGCTCAGA